AGGTAAGTTCCGTGAGCATTGAGACTTCACCAGAACAGCACCTGCTACATTTGTTTAGGACAAATATTTGTTGGGCTTCCAGCAATGGTGGAGTGCCAGGGGCTGGATTTGTTCTCTGCCCGTAAACAGCTTTTTAAAAAATACAAAATATCCAGACATTGGACAGCAAACTGCAGGACACTGACCCTGACAGACGAGAGCACATGAGATGCACCTTGGGTTGCCCCAGGGTGTGGCTGAGAGAGGAGAGCTCTCGGACTGCAGCGTTGGGGGTGCGTGGGCTCAGGGGCCTCACTGAGCTGAGAAGATGTGGCCAAGGCGGCTGGAGTTTGCACCGTCGGACGCTGGAGTGGAGGCCGCACCGGAAGAAGGAGCCCCTGAAGGCTCACGTGTATGCAGAGACCGCCTGGAGCTGGGGCCACTGGGAGGGAACCGGGCACAAGCCACCCCACAACCCAAGTGGAGAGGCCTCGGCACTCACGGGCATGCCTCAGTCGTGACGCCCACTTCCCCCGAAAGATGGCTCTGTGCCTTCCTAACAGGATTTAAAATTGAGTCTCAAAAAGACCAAACTGTTTCAAGTAATGTAATATCATCCCAGAGCAAAGCTCAAAAATAAAACTTTTAATCCAGTAAGATAAAATTTACAATGTTTACTGTCCGATAAGAAAAATCACCAGACATGTAAAGAAGCAGGGAAATACAATGCACAGGGAGAAGGAAAATCAGACCCAGAAATGGCACAGGTGGCAGATTAGACGAAAACATCAGAAGTGCTGTGGTAAGTACATTCCACATGCTCAGAAAGGCAGAGGAGAAGAGCATGTTAAGGGAAGACATGAAGGACATAAAATGACCCACACAATTACAGAGATGAAAATACTGTGTCAGAGATGGAAACGGTCCTGGCCTGAGCTGAGCAGCCGCTGAGCTGCCAACAGCAGGGTGGCTCAGCTTAAAAAAAAAAAAAAGAGCTGGAAAAGGAAATAGACTGGATGAGATTAAAGGCAGATAAGAGTGCGAAGAAAATGTTAGTGAACTTGAAGATATGGCAATGGAAACTGCCCAAACTGAAACAGAAAATACTGGGAACAAGTGAGTGGAGCTCCAGTGCACTGAACTGTGAGACCCTCAAGCCACCTGACGTGCCTGTGGGTGGCGGCCCAAGGGCAGGGGAAACTTTGGAGGAAAAGAATGCTGAGAAATTTCCAAATTTGATGTAAACCCACAGGTCTAGAAGTTCAAGCAACCCTAAATGAAAGAAACGTGGAGAAAATTACATGAAAGCACAGCCTGATGAATTCCTCAAAACCACTGTGATGAAAGAAAACTCTTAAAAGCAGCCAGAGAAAAGACAACTTGGCATATCAAGGAACAAAGGTAACTATGGCAACAGACTTCTCTTCAGAAACTATGCAAGCCAACAGTGGAACACCTTTAAATTTAGTTTTGAAAGCAAAAAAATCTATCAACTTAGAATTCTATACCCAGTGAAAATACCTTTCAAAAATGCAGGTGAAGTAAAGAGTTTTTCAGACATGCAGAAGCTGAAAGAATTTCAAGAAATATCAAAAGATTTGCAGGCAGAAGGAGAAACGATCCAGGGAAAAGGACCCTGCAGAGGTGTAGAGAGCGTCTGACTGGTCAGTACGTGAGTGAGCAGAACAGACGTTTTTCTTGTATTTAAAATCTTTTTCAAGGACATTTACTGTGTAGAGAACTTCTAAAAATCAACAACAAAACAATTTTAAAAATGGGCAGAGGACCTAAACAGACATTTCTCCAAAGAGGACATACACATGGCCAACAGACACATGAAAAGATGCTCAAGGTCACTCATCGGTCAGGGGGATGCAAACTGAACCACAGCGCGGCAGCACCTCACATCCACTAGGTGGCTGCTACCAAAGCAGACAGACAAAAGAAAGCTGGTGTTGGAGCCCTGCCGGTGGGGTGTGAATGCTGCCACCATGGGAACAATATGGGGGTCCGCAGAAAATTAAGCAGATCGCGTCCCAGCGATCTCCCTTCTGGGTGTACACAAAGCAGGGACGTAAGGTTATTTTTGCACCAGTGTTCATAGAGTATTATCCACATGGTCTAAAAGTGGCAACAACCCAAGTGCCCGTGGCAGATGAGTGGATGAGCTGATGTGGAGTTATGCACACGCTGGGACGTCACCCAGCCCTAAAGAGGATGGACACCCTGACACCGGCTACGGCACACATGGACCTTGAGGACATCACGCCTAGTGAAATAAGGCAGACACAAAGGGACAAATCCTGTGTGACCTACGCATCCGAGGTCCCTGGAGAAGTCAGGTCCAGAGACAGGAAGTATTGTAGATGGTGGTGCGGGGGCTGGAGCGGGGGGAGAGGGGGACTTAGTGTTTAATGGGGACAGAGGTTCTGATTGGGACGATGAGAAAGTTCTGGAGACAGAGGGTGGGGATGGTTGCATGACAGTGAATGTGCTTAGTGCCGCCGAACTGTGCACTTAAAATTGGTTAAAGTGGTAAATTTTACATATGTTTTACCAATAAAACGTATCCAGATGTTTAAAAGACAAGTAACTATTGAAAGCTAAAATAATAATGTATTTGGGGGGTTTTGACATATGTGGAAATAAAATTCATGAAAGTAGTGCAAAGACCGTCGATGGGAGTCTGATGTTTTAAGGTCCTGTGTGTGAAGTGGTGTGACGCCCCAGAAGGCAGCCTGTGGTGTGTACTGTGAGCCCTGAAGCAGCCGGCTGGGCCCGCATTCGTCTGTTCAGAAGGTGCGCCCTCCAGACGCAGCACGCTGCCCTGAGTGTATCCTGGAAAGGGCACGTGAGGGGAAATTGGAGAAACTGAAGTAAATAAGCCAATAAAGGAGATAAAATGGGATGATTAGAAAGATATTCATTAAATCCAAAATAAAGCAGGAAAAGAAACAAAGGACGGATACAGCAAAATAACAAGATGGTATTTAAGCTCATCCGTATCTATAGTTACATTGAGTATAAGTCTGACGCTGTAATTAAAGGGCAGAGGCTGTTAGATCGTCCAAACAAGGACAAGGCAATACCCAACTCAGTGTTGCCTGTAAGAAACTCACTTTAAGTGTAAAGACACAAATAGTGAAAAGCAAGAGGGTGGCTTAAGAATCTATTGAATGAACAGCTGAAACTAATTCTAAAAATGTGTATTTCATAATTTAAAAAAAAAAATCTATTGAATGATAGATTGGGTCTTTGACAGACATTCCAGAGGTGGCATCTAGGGGGCAGGCCCGGGGTTGTTCCCACTGCAGCAGGACCTCACGTCCTTGTCAGCCCTCGCTAGGAGCTGCTGGCCCGGTCCGCAGCCCCCAGAGCCCGAGCAACATCCCACCAGAGTCATTTGCTCACACCCGCCCAGACATAGGCAGTCCTGGCGCTGAAGTCACTTCTGTTTCTATCTTCCGGTCCCTCCCAAGGCCAGCCTTGTATGGGACACGGGAAGGTGGTACGGCTGTACAGCTGCCCTGCAGGCCACGCTGTAGGCACCCAGCCCTGCTGGGTCTCACTGGCCCTCACTGCCCCCCGTAGCTCCAGGCCACGAGTCAGCAGGCCCCAGCCATGGCCTGTCCCTCCCGGCCTGCGCTGACCTTGCTGGCCAGGGCGGGATGGCACCCAGGAGTTTTCTCTCTGAGGCGCCTGAATCCTGGCACTCGCACTGCTCTTTTCCTGGACACTGCTGCAGGAGAGGACTGTGGGGTCCCCGCCCTTCACTTACTCCTTCATGGCCCCACTCACCTGAGATGGAGACAAAATAACAGCATGCTTGTATCACGCCTGTGACCTTGATGCCTCTCCTGGCCTTAGGAAGGTCCCTCGGGCATCGTCCCCGCAGCACGGAAGGGGGCCTCGTGGCTCATGGGAAGGAGCGGCTCATTACCCTCACCTGGCCGCCTGAGTCCCGACCTGACACCCCAGTTCCAGCTTTGAAGGCACCTCCCCACTTCTGCACGACTTCTGCCACTTTCGGTAGCCATTTGCTGAAAGTTCAAGGATAATGGAAGGGTATAGCTGTATTTTCTGGTTTCTACAATTTATATTTTTGTCCATTTCTTATTGTATGAAAATACACATAAAATTTACTATCCGTTTCTAAGTGTGCAGTTCAGTGGTATTAAATATTCATACTGCTATGTACTCACCACCCTCTATCCCCAGAGCTCCTGTCAACCTGCACATCTGAACCTCTGTCCCCGTTAACACGAAGTCCCCACCCGTCTCCTCCAGCCCTGGCACCGCCATCTACTTTCTGTCTCTGGACCTGACTCAGGGACCTCGGATGAGTGAATCGCACAGGATTTGTTCCTCTCTATGTGCCTTATTTCACTGGGCATGATGTCCTCAAGGTCCATGCGTGCCTAGCAGGTGTCAGGGTGACCATCCTCCTTAAGGCTGAGTGACGTCCCAGTGTGTGGGTGGACCAGTTGGCTCACCCATCACCCGCCGTGGACACTTGGTGGCTTCCCCGCCTTGGCTATGGTGAAGCATACCGCTGTGAGCGTGGGGGCCCCAATGTCTTCAGGACCCTTTTAGTTCTTTGGAGGATATGCTAGGAAGTGGGTTGCTGGGTCACAGGGTCACTATTTCTAACCTCTCCAGGGACCAGTGTTGCCCACCAGGCTGCACCGTTTATTTTCCTAACAGCACACGGGGCCCACCTGATGCATTTTTATGTATCTGAAACCCGGCTTTCTCTTCCATTCAAAGCATCGTGTGACGTTTCCCGTTTGTGGTTTGGGGAAAAAAAACTGTGTACGTTGCCACTGGTGTGATATAATTCACAGCCTATCAAAACTGAGGCGATAGGGGACTCAGAGGCCTGGGGCTGCATGGGATATACCCCCAGACCTGGACTGCCCTATCCCGTGCTCCTCAGGGCGCCCCTCACAGAAGGGGTGGGGTGGGGGGCGTCATGCCCCATATGTCCGGGCTCCGAGCATCAGTCACACCTGCGGGTGGCGCGCGCTTGAGGGATGAGGAAGCGAGGTCCCCGCTGGGCAGGGCGCCCACCCACGCGTTCCTCGCTGCGCTGCTGGCTCCCCTCCGGGCCACCAGGTGGCGCCCGCAGCACATCCTACCGGGCTGCTCCACTGGGGGCGCCCGCCTCCCTACTGTCCAAGGTTGCTGTGTGACCTCCAGCAGGCTGCTCTCAGGCCTCCTTGGGTCGCAGGGGCCTGGTTGTGGCCCTGTGAGGTCCTTCCTGGCGGTTAGATGGCCATGCAGCCTGGGTGGCCTCCTAAGGGTCACGGGGCTGGATGAAGCCGGTGGGAACGGGGACATCCAGGGCACCCCCCTTGGGCAACTCTTAGGGGGGTAGGGGAGGGGCACCTTCCCTCGGAGGTTGTCTTGGGACCTCAGCCCAAAGGACAGGGTGCTCCCCACGAGCAATACAAGCCACAAAGTTGAAAAGCCATTTTTATTGAAGAATTTGGAGGGAAAGTCTCATAATAGTAAAAATACTCAAGTTGAATGTAAAAAAACGCCATGGTGCAGCGCAGTGTCTGGCCAGGAGGCGCGGAGGATGCAGGAGCGTCGGGCAGGGGCTGGCGGGCTGGGGCGCTTGGGAGCCAGAAGCTTGTACAAAGGTCAGGTGCTGCTGGGGAAGCCATCGAGGGGAGGCGTCCCAAGGGAAAGGGGGGGCGGGAAGGAGGGGCTTTCTCCTCTCAGATGAAACCCCCCCCAAATGCACAGCAAGATTTCAACTGCTCCCTCTCTAGGATCGAACCCCCGCCCAGCCCACCCCAGGGCCCCATCTCCAGCAATAGGGCCCCAACGGAGGGGGCCTGCTCGACCGAGCTGCTTCTGGTGCCTCTGGGCTGGGCCAAGACAGGTGACAGCCAGGGACAGCTGGCGAGAGGGACTGAGGGGCCGCGGGCGGGGCCCACCCGGACCCCCAATTGCACATGGCTGCAGGAGTCCTCAATGTCTCCTCTGTGAATCTCATCGTTCTGAAGGCCGAGGCCTTGTCTGGAGAACTGGATGAAATAAATTAAGAAAAACCGCAGGACAACCTTCCTCCCACGGCGGGCTGGGAAGACGCCGCTCCGAAGGCGCACAGCACTGCCCCGCGGCACGAGATGTCTTCCCATCCGTGCTGAGGAGCAGTGTGGTTCCTTCCAAAAGCAGCCAGTGAGGAAATATTAAATACAGATGGTCCACGAGGAGAGTGGCTGCCCACGCTGCGTCCACGAGCACGGCTGGGCTGGCCCTCAGGCCGTGCCGCTGGCCGAGTAGGAGAACTGGGGGAAGTGGGGCCTCCGCTCACTGTCCACGCACTCCATGTTGTCGTCTGCAGGCGGGAGACGTGGCTCAGACCCCAGGGTCAGGCATCGGGGGACGCTGAGGCCAGCCCCTGGAGGCTTGCCTCCCAGACCCTACATCTTCACCCAGTGACCCCAAGCCCCAGTTCCGGGGGCAGGGACAGCCGCCCTGACCACCATTCTCCAAAGGGGACCTTTCCAAAAAAGCTGAGCACCACAGGTTTCATGAGGGCAGCCCAAGCTCTCCTGTCTGGAGAGGGGGCAGTTGGCGGGAGGTGGCCCCTCACCTTGGTCAGGTGGCGTGATGGTGATCATCTGGGCGGTGAACTCCTCGTCAAAATACCTGGTGTCTGTCTCTGACGTAACCTGGGGCTTGAAGGGCGGACAGAGCTGCGGGGTGGGGTGGGAGGTCACAGGCTGGCTCTGCACAGCCCAGCGCACCCCCACCCCGCCCACTCCCCCAGGGGCTGAGCCCAGCTGGGAAGTGCCCACATTCCCACTGATCTGTCTCCAGGTGGTCCAAGCCGTCATCCACCCACAAAGCTCTGGGAAGGAGACTGGCTGGGGAGGGCGGTGGTCTGGGCCTTTGTCACAGCTCAGCAGGACCCCCACACCCCCAGATAGGAGACGACGAGCCCATCTCTCTCCCCTCTGGCTTTCTTGGTGGACAGGATAGGGCGCTATGGAACAAGGTATATGGGGCGGGCTCCCCACTCCCCAGCAGGTGCCATTCACACTCCTTCCTGACCAGACCCACTCAGCCCAGCTGCTGGGGGCTTCCACTGGGCTAGCTCATGATGGACAGTCACATCCCAGTCCCTCAACCACCTGGACTAGTGAGTGGCAATCCCGTGCAGTGGGCCCATGGGGCAGCCACGCTTCCCACAGGCCCAAGGAACAGAGGCATTGCAACGCAAGCCACCTGGAGGGCAGCTCAGTGCCTGCGCCACAGCCCTGGGAAGGGCCCATGGAGCAGTGGGCCACGGCCCTCGGCCCCCGAGTTGTCACTGGGCTAGGGCCCACCCGTGCCAGCCCCGCCAGGTGCCCTGGGGCATGAGGGGAACTGCTCTGCCCAAGCCCTGTCAAATGCACAGGAGGCTCCTGGGGCCTCCCTGTCCATCTTTTCATCCAGATGAGGATGGGGACAGGCCTTTCTCCGTTCACGTCAGCTCTGGGACCTTGTCCTTCAGGACTCCCATATGGGGGGCAGGAAGGAAATGAGTCCTGAGTGTGGGGTCCATCCAGCCCTGCTCACGGCACAGGGACAACCATGTGGCCTGGCCAAGTCTGGCTACAGAGAGGACCCATGACCCAGGACACCCAGGACCCGAGGGTAAGTCTAAAGGGATGTGCACACAGGAAGAGGGTGCCCCAAAATTCTGCAAACCCTGGCCTGGGGCTGCCCCTCCTGAGCCAGGGGGTCTTCAGTCTTGCAAGGCAGGGCCAGGTGGTGGCAGGCCTCAGGGCTGGCACCTGAACGGGAGCTGAGCAGGGAGGCGGGGTATGCGGTGCAATCTCCCAGGGAGGACAGAGGCCTAGCCAGCCACATGTGGCCTGCGACAGGCCTGCAGGAGGCGTGGGCTGGCAACTAGGCAGGAACCTGCTCGGTGACGGCACACGGCACACCCAGGTACCTGGGCCAGGGCACAGGGATGTGAGCGGGAAGCAGCTGCCTCGCTCCTGGGAGGCGTCCCTCCCAAGGTAGAGCAGGTGCTGTCCTGTTCCCGCACACCCAGACAGCACGCCTGGGCTCTCCCTGGAGCATGAGAGACTAAGGGCAGGGGCAGTGCCCCGACCGCACAGCCAGCCTTCAGCACACAGCACTAAAGAGGGAGACCTGGTGCCCAAACCTGATGCGGTGTGGCTCGCAGGAGTCCACGTGCACACAACTCCTGCGACAGGGATGGCGGGGAGCCTGCACTGCATTCAAGAGGAAACAGGCTATGCGGAGCCTCTGAGCCCCAAGGGGTGTGAGTGGGTAGGTGTGAGTGTAGGTGGGTGAGAGCGTGTGCATGAGTGGGTGAGTGTGCATGCACAGGTGGTATGTGTGCGTGTGTGGGTGTGTACAGGTGTGTGAGTGCATGCATGGGTGTGCATCTGAGTGTGGGTGTGTGAGTGCGTAGGTGGGTGAGAATATGTAGGTGTGGGTGGGTGTGCACAAGTGTGTGCGGGTGTGAGTGTGGGTATGTGCATGAGTGGGTGAGTGTGAATGCACGGGTGGATGTGTGAGCGGGCGGACGGGGGCCGGCCCCACGCACCTTCTTCTCGTACACGTCCTGCCACACAATGCTGGCGAAGAAGCGGTGCTGCATGATCTCCTTGGCGTCCTCGGGGCCCCCTCCAAGACTGCAGAGGACACAGGGGACAGGGTGACGCTGCTGCCACCTGCCCGCCCAGGGCTCAGGACATTCGCCAGGTCCCCCCCACCCCCGGGTGCGGCTGGGCAACAGATAGCGCGACAGTGCGGTCCTGAGCGGTGCAGAGAGGGCGCGGTGGGACGTGTCCAGGGCGGTGGGGACACACAGCTCCCTGGCCGAGCTCTAGCAGCTGCAGGATGCTGGGTGGGCAGGAGCTACAGGCAGGGGTGAGGCGCCCTTCCAGCCCCAGCCCGCTCAGTCCCTCTGCCTGGGCCAATCCTGGTTAAGAACGTCACACGCAGCCACCAGGGCTGCCCCGACTGTCTTGGGCCCGAGTACTCACCGCTGCCTGGGGTCCTTCTTGAGCAGCCCTGACAGCAGGGCCTTGGCCTCAGGGCTGAGCGAGCGCGGGAAGCGTATCTCCTCCATGAGGATGAGCTCAAACAGCTTCTCGTGGTCCTGGTTGTAGAAGGGCAGCCGGCCGCACAGCATCTCGTACATGACCACGCCCAGTCCCCACCAGTCCACCGCGCGGCCGTAGTCGTTGTCCTCCAGCACCTGGGGGCCAGGGCGTGGGTTACAGGCTGCTGGGACCCGGGGCCGGGGGACTCGGGGACAGGCAGCAGGCACACCTCGGGGGCCAGGTACTCGGGGGTCCCGCAGAAGGTCTTCATGGTGGCACCGTCCTTGATGCCCTCCTTGCAGAGCCCGAAGTCGGTGATCTTGATGTGTCCATCCTTGTCCAGCATGAGGTTCTCCAGCTGTGGGCGGGGCCTCGGGTCAACGCCGGCCCCGCCCCCCGGCCCTGCTCCCACGCGGGCAGGCCCACCTTGAGGTCACGGTAGACCACGTTCTTCTCCGAGTGCAAGTAGTCTAGGGCCGACACGATCTCCGCCCCGTAGAAGCGCGCCCGGTCCTCAGGGAACACCCGCTCCCGCGACAGGTGGAAGAAGAGCTGCGGGACAGGAGCCTAAGCGGCGGCCACCGGAAGCCCCGCCCCAGCCGCCCCGTGGCTCCGAGGGCCGCCCCCGCGCAGCCCTACCTCGCCGCCGTTGGCGTACTCCATGACGAAGCAGAGGCGGTCGTGGGTCTGGAAGGAGTACTTCAGGGCCTGCGAGGGACACAGGGCTGGGATCGCAGCCGTCCAGCTGGGCAGGGACGCGAGGCTGCTGCCCCCCAGACCAGGCTCAGAGGACCAGCAACGTGGGGTCTGGGGCAAGTCGGATCGGCGCGAGCATCTAGAAGCTAGCAAGTTCCGTGAACTTGGGGGGCCCCCTGGACAAGGCAGTGGGCAGCAGCTCCGATACCCTCAGTGAGGGGAGGGTGTGACCTCCAGGCAGCGCTGCCCCGCCACCTCCCCAAGGCGGCCTTGCTTTAAAAGGACAGGCCGATGCCAGACTCTCACCCACACATGCAGCCCCTGGATCTCGTGGAGCAGCTGGAGCTCAGCCCCAGTCACAGAAAATGCAGACAAGACAAGCTCAGCACCATGCTGAGCAGAAGGGACAGGCCTGGGGGGGGGGCAGCCATGCGTGGAGCGTGGCCCAGCAAGACCCCGGAGGGCAGCCACCCGGGACCCAAGTCCTGACCCCCGGGTGGGGGGGGGATGGCCCTTGCACCCAACTGCTGACCAGGCCTTCAAGGAGCTGGCCAAGCCTGGCAAGCCAACGTCTAGCTAACTCCTTGTTGTTCCCAAAGGCTAAGAATTTTCCATATACGCCTCCTGGGCCAAGTCCCCCGGGACAGGGACCCTCCCTGGCTTGAGCCCCACAGGGGAAGCAGCTGGAAGGTTGTGGGCAGAAGGGTGGGCACGGGCACTCGGGGGCCTCCTAGGGCTCAGAGCAGAGGGAAGCCCCAGGCCACCTGCCCCCTTCTGCACACGGGGGGAGCGAGCATGGCCCACCGGCCTGCGTCAGGCACCTCCACCCAACCCCTCAGAGGCCTGCCCACCATTGCCCCAGTGCTGAGGTCCAGAAGCCCCGTTTCCCGGGAGAATGGCTTCGGCCCTGGATACAGGCTGGTGAGTGTCCACCTGACCCGGCGCCTGGCTCCCGCAAGCACACCGGCCACAGAAGGCCAGGTTCTGCCCAGAGGCTCAGGTGACCGCAGGGGCCACTCACCGTCAGGAAGGGGTGCCGGGAGTTCTGGAGGACGCGGTTCTCTGTGAGCGTGTGAGCCACCTCGTCCTGGAAGACAGGCTGGTGAGCCCCACCCCCACCCTGGCCCCGAGTTCCAGGCACCAACAGAGCCGAGATGAGGACATGTGTCTAGACCATAAAAAACTACAAGTCAATACTAAGACAAAT